TTATAAATTTCTAGAAAGCACGCCGTTAACACGGCTGCAGTCCTGTTCAGGCCAAGTTATGGGTTATTAACTTGGTTTAGACTTAGCCCAGATATAGTCCATGTTTTCCCTTGTCTGGAAGCCAAATTGATCCAGTCATGTACCATAAAACACGGTGGAATGTGAGCCAAACAAAAGCTGATTGTGTGGGCCAGAGAAATTTTGCTATGTGGGATGCTAATCCCTGCAATATGGTAAATCTGTTGTAAGAGTCTATTCTACATTGTGACTTTAATTTCAGTAAAAAAACTTCAAACTTCAAGCATTTACAAAGTTGTTTTACACATTGCCAAGCTTGTTCTCAAACTTACTCGTATTTTCTTCTGCTATGAAATGTAGATGTTTTCCAATTTGATGTTTCACAATCTGAATAGTGGCCCATACAGATAAGCTTTTCAGCTAGATTGATCACATACGTTGGCAAAAAGTGGGTTTTGACTTCTTTTTTTTTTTTTTTTTTTTTTTGCTGACTCACAGGTAAATTGACACTGGAGCCATGATAGACGCCTGACTCATACATTCATACTTAAATAGCAAATACTCATGCCACCTTTCATCTATACTTACTGACAGAGATCAAATGTAGGCCTAATGGCCGTGTACTATTTTCAGTTTAGGCATGCGGTGCATGTAATTTGCCATAATGACAGTAATAGGTTTCCATCTGGACATAGGCTACTCGTCCTTTCTCTGGGGAGAGAGTGTTTTAAGGATACAAGAAGACAGCATGGAGAGCAATAATGTATAATTTGCTACATCATTGAACATATGATAATACTATAAAACACACGTTATCATCAGCGATAATATTTAACCTCTGCGTTATTATTAAAATAGAACTGATAAAAGAGCCAAATGATACAACCCATTATTAGTTCAAATAAAAGTGTGCATTATCAGTATTACGTCGTTAATTTATGTCTCTGAAGAAACATCCATAAATCCTGACAGATTTAATTTTACCCTGACTGGATTAATTATCCAGGCTAAATTAATTCCACAAGCAGAAAAAAAAGAGGCTGATCTTGATGTCTTTCCTGACTGCTCGCTTGTTATCCATCGATCACGAAGCTCTTTCAGTGAAGTCTTAATTTCAGAGAGTGAGTTCATTCAGGCGTGTGTGTGCGTGTGTGTGTAAAGGGCTGGTGGTCGCCTTTGACAATGTAGGATGTGGATTTATTGATAAATTAACAGATCGATGAAGACTGTTTCCGACTTGACACATGATCCCAGTGAAACCACATCTATAGTAACTTATACTTCAGACTTCAAAACACCTTATTTTACTAAATTGGAAAAGCGAGGATGATGTTATACTATTTAAGCTAAAAAGATCCTCCAAAAATGCACGTTACATTCATATTATCTGGCTGATTGCAACTGATATCTACTTGTATAGTTGAATAAATATCTAATCTAAGGGATAAATCAACCAAAAGTCAAAATTCTGTCAATATATATTCACATTTTACTCATGAGAAACCAATTTGACTTGTTCTGCTGAACACAAAAGAAGATATTTTGAAGAACGCTGAAAACCTGTAACCATTGACTTACATATTTGTTTTCCCTACTATGGAAGTTAATGGTTACAGGTTTTCAGCATTTTTCAAAATATCTTCTTTTGTATTCAACAGAATAAAGAAACTAATTAAGGTTTTGGACCACTTGAGAATGATTAAATAGTGAGTATACATTTCTGAACTATCTCTTTAAAGTGACTAACCACTATAAATCGTGCAATTAGAATAATTACCAGTTTAATAATATTTATTCATGACCCGTAGTTCAATTTCTGAAGCAAAAAGTTCTCTTAATAAACCATTTGCCTGCTTCATTATGTTTAGTTATGTTTTCTAGAGGTAGTGTAAACTAATCTGTTCGAATGTTCACAAATTATGTCAGCCTAAGTGAGATTACCCTTGTTTTAGTGCCAAATAAACACTATTCTGGCTGGTAAAAAGTCCTTTTGCCATCACTGAAATAAACATTTAGAGTCGTTCTTAACAATTGAAAATAGATGGTCAGTTGCTGAACCCCCATCCTGGTGTCATTTGATCTGAAGATGTCAGTAGATTCCAGTCAGCAGTCTCTCTGTGAGTCCGACTATTGGAAGACCACTTTATGGAAGGTCTTTCTTGGCTTTAATGGATTGGAAAGCTGATGACACAAGTCTTGGTTACCTTTAAAGCTTATATCAGCACAAAAGATCATCGCTCCTCACCCTCAGCACTTTCTGTCAGAAGAAAAAAAAAAAATCATAGACTGACATTATTTATGCATATGGTTAAAGTTACTTTTAGTCAACTGGAGAGCAGGCGCACGTATGCTGATTCAGGGTTAAAACTGTTTATAAAATATGCACGTATTAGGAATATTTTTTGATTAATGAGCAGAAACATGTAATAAATTTAACCGAGACGCATAATAAATATTTATATATTAAAAAAAATGTGTTATGTTGTCTTGTTCACTGAAAATTAGCTTGAGAAACAGCATAAAGAGAACTGCAAAGCAATTAACAATTAAACATGCGATACGGCCGGAAAGAAATGTGACATTAATGAATTAGGCCTCTTACATTTTCTAGATGTACGAGGAAGTATGCAGGAAGTATGTAAACTGATCTGGTCATTTAACATTGATACATTTTAATTAAAACATTTTTAAAAGTTAAATTGCTTGCCCAAAGCCAACAACAACACTTTTAGAGATTTAAGAAATATGAATAAATAATAGCTACAAGTTAGACCAGGGTTGCCCAAACTTTTTTATTTAAGGGGCCAAAAACCAAATATCATTGAAAGCCGTGGGCCGAAGATTAATATGCCAAACTTTATTACATTAAATTTTCCATGGGTAAGTTCCTAATTTATTAAAAAACATTGCCTTAAATTCTATTAACTAATGCATTATAACATTTAAAATGATAACTTATTGCAATAAAAGCATAAACAATCACATAACAGTGGAGTTTAATGCTGAATACACTAGTCAAGCAGAATCTATGACAGACAGTATGTACATTTAAACTAAATCTGATTAATATACACTGTTTAATTGAAATATTTAATTTCAGTTAGCTTTTAACAATAAAACAAACAAACAAACAAAATATTAAGATTTGAAACGACAATCTCTAAACCATACCCATTATTCTTTCTCTCTGCTTAGATGGCATGGCGGGCCAACTTAAAGGTTATCATGGGCCAACTTTGGCCCGCGGGCCCTAGTTTGGGCATTGCTAAATTGGACCAATGGGTATTTAAACTGATTATTTACCCATCCTCAGGCCAACAAGATGTTTAAATTACTGTAAAAAAAGATTTTTTAAAGAAATTGTGGGCCTTGGTGATTCATAAAATGTCAACAGCTACTGCTGCAATAATTATTTTCTTACTTAGATTTTTGTCTTGTTTCTAGTCCAAATATCTAAAATTTTTCAAATCAAGAAACATTTTTTAGACAAGCAAAACATAATGTCTTGTTTTCAGAAATAATATGCCAATATTAGGGGAGTTTTTCCTTAAAACAACTCAAATAATCTGGCAATGAGGTAAGCAAAATAGTCTTGTTTTTCCTTTTGACATAAGATTATTTTTCTTGGCGACGCAGTGGCGCAGTAGGTAGTGCTGTTGCCTCACAGCAAGAAGGTTGCTGGTTTGAGTCTTGGCTGGGTCAGTTGATGTTTCTGTGTGAAGTTTGCATGTTCTCCCCGCGTTTGCGTGGGTTTCCGGGTTCTCTGTTTCCCCCAATGTCCAAAGACATACAGTATAGGAAAATTGGGTAAGCTACATTGTCTGTAATGTGTGTGTGAATGAGAGTGTGTGGGGTGTTTCCCAGTGATGGGTTGTGGCTAAAAGGGCATCCGCTGCATAAAACATGCTAGATAAGTTGGTGGTTTATTCCACTGTGGTGACCCCAGATTAATAGAGAGATTAAGCTGAAAAGAAAATGAATTAAATGAATGATTATTTTTCTTACCTCATTGGCAGATTATTTAGCTTGTTTTAAGGAAAAACTCGCTTCATTTTGGCATATTATTTCTTAAAACAAGACTTTATGTTTTGCTTGTCTAAAAAATTATTTTTGCTTAAAGAATTTTTAGATATTTGGACTAGAAACAAGACAAAAAAAATAAGTAAGAAAATCATTTTTTTTGCAGTGAGAGTCAGTAAAACATATACAGGCAAAACAAAATTATTACTTACCAGTATATGTTCATATTTACCTTGAACTGTTCCTTTAAGTGCTTAAAATGTGTTAAACCGACTTTTAAATTCTAAAAATAAGACGCTACTGTAAGTCAATGACTTTTGCAGTGCACAGCCAAAAATATGAAAACCCCTCAGACACACGGAGCCATTTCAGAATCACATTTACAACACGTCTAGTCATAAACACCGAACAGGTGGAAAAAATATCTTAAGAATGCAGGTGAAAAGGAAAGAAATCGTAAAAACCTCTCATCCCTGGCACTTAACCGTCTATGCCCTCATCACGCCTCATATGTGACAGCGGTGACTCACTGGCTGCAGTCGCCCTCCTGTGGCGTCTGTTTGATTACACCAGACGCGTGACGTCACTCCCATTACTATCATTCACCCGAATTATTATTTTATTTCGTATTTAAAGGGGGCTTGGTTTGACAATTGATTAAAAACAGTGCGCATTTTCCCCCTTATTAAAATACAAAATACAACGCGCGTAAACGTAGGGAAGCGTGGTGACGCGTTAATAGATGTGAAAGTATTTGCATACATATACGTGCATGCGTACATATTTGACTTCAAGCTACTAAGTTAAAATGATAAGTCCAAAAGCGACCAAATAAAATCAGCTCAGTCTTCTGCATACGCGTTTTTGTTGGAGATAAAGAAAGGGATAATGAGAGAGAGAGAGAGAGAGAGAGAGAGAGAGAGAGAGAGAGAGAGAGAGAGAGAGAGAGAGAGAGGTGCTGATGGGGGGAGTTGGCAAGCTCTTGTGCCCCCCTCATCTCTGCGTGCACGACTCTCTCCTCCGCAGTGCACTGCTGGACAGCGCTGAGCGCGGAGTACAGGACAGTAGGCTACAGGACAGTAGCGCGCATCAGCGGGTGGCACGCGCTTCCGTATAGTCCTAAAGTCCCAAACAGCAGCAGCGCACAAGAGGAGCGCCCTCATGGAGCTAATATGAACTATCCGATGGCTGAGCTTCACTTCACAACCCACACTGACACATTTACAGTTTGAGAGGGAAGGGAAGGCACGCGTCAGACATGGACACCTCGCTGTGGATCGTGATTTGTGCAGCGGTAAGTGTTCGCTTTAGTTTGAGATGAGCGCAAGTGCGCGCCGCTGGATTTCTCTCAATATGCAGGTTAATTGGCATCAGGTGAACTGCGCGAGGCGCGTGATGCGCATTCGGCTGAACTTGTTTTCGGCTTGTGCTAGTGATGACTAATCTCAGCTGGCCGGCTTTTGGAGAACAGGTGTCGGCCACTCTTACTAGGCTACTTAAAATGAATGTACATGCAATAGTGCATTTGAGAAATTTTAGAAAAAAATAGGCTACTGTACTGTCATGGCAAGTTGCTTCAGATGAAATTCGAGTTTGTCTAATTTGACTGACTTTATTTCAGTTGACACATTACAGCTCATTTTAGTAGCTCGTGTGAGCCTTTGGAGTTTTAGTTCATGCATGCGTGTGTTCAAACACTTTTAAAAATAAATTCTCCAAAATAGTACTGATGCCATGGAAGAGCTGCTTTTGGTTCCCATATAACCTTTCAGTGAAGAGTTCTTTTAATGATAAGCATTCTCCACTGAAAATAAACTTTTTGAGTAAAGGAAATATTAAAATAGTGTTAATGGGTCTTTGAGAAAGCATCAATGCCATGAAAAGAACCTTGGATTTTAAGAGTCCAGTTTATTTTAATGACTTGAATAGGGATGAGCATTTCTAAAGGCATTCCTGCAGGTAACTTCCGAGGACTGATTTGCTAAAGTGCATCTAAATTATGTGAGAATTTGTGTTTGCAAGCACCAACAGAAAGTACTGTATGTGACCTCATTAACTTGTTATGCAACTTTTGTGGTTACTTAAACATGGGAAAAATAGCTGAACTGTGTTTACTTAGTAGTAAGCCTCCACATTGTAGCCTACCTTGTATGTTTAGTCCAAACTTGCTAGGCTACTATGTTATGCGAGTTTGTCACATAAAAGAAATGACCATGGAAAGTACAATTTCCATCATGTTGTGCAATTACATCCCAATATTTTCAAAATCTTATCAATGAATTTTCAGAATATCACTACATTTTTGAATGAATATAGTGACACAGTGCATGCATACCACAACCACCTCTGGTATTTTTGGCTTGAACTTACCATAGTAATTTTTTTTTGAAAGGGATATGCCAAAGTGCGCAGGCATGCGACCCTCGGGTTCCCCTACTGAGTGCCCTACGTGACCCTCACCACCTCCAGTCTCGCGTAACACGGACCAAATCAATTTAAACATGCACACGCTCTTGACTAAACACAATTACACCGTGACCTCTTTCCAGTGATCTGATTTGCAAAATGGCAAACGGAGCCGGCAATTGAGTTTGATCCAGGTGCAGAGAGCCAGTGAAGGATCTCCTCCGACACATGAGCTTCGGCTGGAGTGTGATCTTACAAGCCCGCGTGAAGCCACTGCGCTCCTTTAAGAGATCTGAGGAAGACAAAAATGGCTTAATGGGTGGTGAAAAAAGTGGTTTGTGTAGGCTTGATGTTTCATGGTTTGAATGTCTAAACTTGCAGCTGTCTTTTGATTGGGGAAAAAATAGTATGGGTGGGACTTAATTTATCCTGAGGTAATTGATTTGAGGTTTGGCTATTGGTCAGTGTCATGTGACTGGCAGGCAGATCCCGCCCTCCTGACATTAAACATGTTATCAGAGAAGAAATGTTGTAGGAAGAGGAAGTTATTTTGATTAAATATAACATGAATTAAAAACTGATACAATATTCATGCCACACCTTAATTTTGGCACAGATTCACACTAACTAACTGTTAACTATTACTTTTGCCTAATTGTTAATTTTTTTTCTTATTAATAGTTAGTAAGATGCTGTTAAAGGGATAGTTCATCAGAGAAGAAATGTTGTGATAAGAGAAAGAAGAGGTTATTTTGATTAATGAATTAAAAACTTATACAATATTCAGGTCACACTTTAGTTGTCACCAATTCACATTATCTATTATCTTTGCCTAAGTGTCCATTTCCTTTGCTTATTAATAAGTTTTGCTACTGGTGGTAAGGTGCTATTAAAGGGATAGTTCACCCAAAAATGAAAATTACCTCATCATTTACTATCACTCATATTGTTTTAAAACTTTAAGAGTTTCTTTTTTTCTGTTAGACACAAAAGAAGATATTTTGAAGAATGCTGGTTGCTTCAAAAATATTCGACTATGGAAGTCAATGGGAGTCAGCAACCAGCATTTTTAAAAAATATCTTATTTTCTATGTCATCGATAGTGAGAACTGGTCCGCAAACATAAGTGTCATCAATATTAATAACAATTTATGCAGATTAAAGAAGCTTACATAGATTTTAAACAAGTTAAGGGTGAGTAAATTTATTTTTGCGTGAACTATCCCTTTAAGTTGAGGTATAGGGTTAGATTAAGGCATCTGAAAACCAATATTCTTGGAATATTCTGCTAATAAGCAAGTCATTGATAATGAGAATTGGTCCCCAAACATAGTGTCATCAATATTAATTATAATTTATGCAGAATAAAGAAACGTACATAGGTTTTGACCAAATGAAGAATGAATATTTTTATTTTTGGGTGAACTATCCCTTTAATTTTAGGTTTGGGGTAGGATTAAGGCATTTGAAAGCCAATATTCTTGTAATATTCTGCTAATAAGAAAGTCACCGATAGTGAGAATTGGTCCTCAAACATAGTGTCATCCATATTAAGTGAAGTTTCATAAACTAATTTTGAGAGGAGCACGTGATATAATTGAGCATGACCGGCTCATCTGTAATCAGTAATAATCCCATTAGAGTTATCCAAGTTTACAATAAATGGATGTTTTTTCTCTACTGCTCTATCTTCGTTTTGGAAGAATCCCCGCTTCCACCCTATTTCCTCTCCTTTCTAAGGGGAGCTCTCAAGATCTACCTGATCTCAGATTCCCTTCTATACTTATTGACTGAGCGGGACCCTTGGGCTCATCTATCTCTGAGCTCAGGGTTCTCTCCGGGGACAGCATGCCAAACTTGCTATTAAAGCCAAGCATAAGTGGGTACTCTTGAATTGAAATTTATGCAGAATAAAGAATCTTACATAGGTTTTGAACAAGTTAAGAGCAAGTTAATTCATTTTTGGGTCAACTATTTTTTAAGGTCATTTATAGGGTCGGATTTAGGCATCTGAAAGCGAATATTCTAGTAATATTCTGCTAATGAGCAAGTGGCCCATAGTGAGAATTGGTCTCCAAACATAAGTGTCATCAATAATTATCACAATTTCTGCAGAATAAAGAAACGTACATAAGTTTTAGACAAATGAAGGGAGCGTATATTCATTTTTGGGTGAACTATCCCTTTAATGGCCCTTCCACTGAGTGGTACGGTACAGTACGGTACAGTTCGGTTTGGTACGCTTTTATGGCCGTTTCCACTGTCAAAAGGCATACCAAACCGTACCGTACTACAAACACGAGAAACGATACCAAAAGGCAGCTGAATCTTACTGATTTACAGAGATACTTAATTCGCTTACGCAACAAGCCAGAATGAAATCAAAAACCCGCCATGTTTGAAATACACAGTGGGGGATTACAGCAGAATTATATATACATATAATAACGAGCCATGGTCGACACTGGCTCAAACAAACTTTGTAGTTGTCTTGATAAACAGCCACAGAGTCAAAAAGAAGAGCAGATTTACCCTGTGCCCCTTAGTTTTTAACGAGCCAGTCTGATGCGCGAGCGGTTTTACTTTCTTGCTTGCGCTCGCCGTGCATCTGTATCTGAAATAACAAACTTCTTGAGCTGATGATAATAACGTGCGCTTGATTATTGACGTACTTTTGAAACCAGATTGTGTCAGAAGCTGACAAACACAGGGAGTGAAGCGCGGAAAAAAAGGAGCACATTATTTTTTCAGCAAACGTGAACAAACTGTCTTTTTTAACTATTATCTTCACCTTTTAGACTATTATGAACTCAGAAAGATGGAATTACTCTCTAACAGAGGCTACATGTGCTGCTGAAGATTACAGACACAGATGAGAGGTCTGCTCTGACTGGGCTATATTGTGGGCTATATTTCTTGTTGTTTTTTAATCTAAATAAGTACTAAATGTCTGCTGTGTGTAGTTCTTCTGTAGTTGGTAACATATTGGAGACTATAAGGGGCTGTACATATATGTTCATATATGTTGCATTTAGTTATTTATTTTATATAATTACAGATGTTACAGTAGGCTATTTTGCACTGTCATTGATCTGCAGTTACAATCAAATCCTGTTCATAGAAAAGTTAGTAATAAACCTTTATAAAGAAGTATTTGTGTATAAAGCATCTGTTTTGTTAGAAGTGCTTCTCATATGATATGTAAGCAACCCGTACAGCTTTACTGTAGACATTTTCTCGAGCAAGAATGATACGACTGAAACTTTTTTTTGTCATACACCCCGCCCACCAAAAGGGTACCCTTGGTAGTGGAAACGCAAGCCTGATAAATGTGACCCGTACCATACCGTACTGTACCAGTCAGGGGAAACGAGGCCATAAGTTGAGGTATGGGGTCGGATTAAGGCATCTGAAAGGCAATATTCTTGTAATATCCTGCTATTAAGCAAGTCGTCGATAGTGAAAATTAGTCCCTGAACATAAATGTCACCAATATTTATTACAATTTCTGCCAAATATCATAAATTAAGAACTTTAAACTTCAGTATTTTTGGGCTGGCGCATAGCAGTGCTTTATGGGCAGGTGCAGATCGCTGAATTGCACAGTAATGAGGCACTTTCTAAACGCATTTACCAGGCTATAATATTTAAATAACTGCAAAACCCAAGGACTTACATATGTGCTTTTCCACTTGAGGACATTCCCGGATTTGACCGCCGGGAGATTTAGTCAGATTTAGCAGATTAATTTAGTCGCCCCCAAAACTAAACCCACAGACACTTATAGACACATAGCCTTTGCTCAGATGTGTTAAGCGTTCGGCTTGCTCCATACCGAGGAGTCCATTAAAGCCTGCCAAGTTAACTCATCGGCACGCTTACTCAAGC